ACAGCGTAACATTGAATATACAAAAATTATATATTAACATACATTTTAAATATTACATCTAAGATAACAATAAGATTAGAACCTCTGACTTCTAATCTAGAATAATCTATGTAATTCATTAAATACATGTTGCACTCGTAGTACAGTTTGCGGTTATGGTACGATTGTCCTTTGCACATTCAGTAGCAAACCATTACTATTGATATCGATATCTGAAAACGGTTTTCAATAACGATATGAAAACTAGATATCGGTTACGTAACCGTTGCAGATAAGAACTGAAAACGCCCATGCTTACTGCTTATACAATAAAGATGTTAGTTAATGGTTTGGTCATATGGAAAGAATGAATAGGAAAGGTGACAAAGCAAAATTTAGTTAAAAACCAAATAGCAAAAATATCGACCAAACAATGAAAACGCTAGGTACTTAAACGATGACATGTATGAAGGGAGAGAAACACACAATGAGGGGGGGAAACTTACACCTTACACTCTGAAATAAAAAATAAAGTGCTTTTAGGGTCGATCCTCATTTGCCGTTCACAGTTCGTTCTCGGTCCGCTCTCGGTCTGACTTATTATAATGGAATGGGATTTGACCGAAACTTGACTGTTACGGATAGTATGAATGCACACACATATTTTTTACTTGATAATATTTTAACAGACCGAAATCTGATCGTTAATGAACTGTGAGCGGCATTATAATGAGGATCGGTCCTTAATGTTCCACCACGTTTAATAGAAAGAGTTTTCTTTTTTATATACTTTAATGATTAATAAACTTTTTCTCTTGTCGAAATTCACAAGTCAAGTCAAGAACAAAATACTTTTAAGATACTTTTGCGGAAAACAAGGGCAAGGAGGAGTGAAATGCTATATCTATATCTTTTATTTTGAAAGTCAGGCTTCTTTCAAATTTTGTTCATTAGTTAATTTTTAAAAAACGTGGCGTCTAGATCATTTTTAAAAATTTGTAAAAATAATCTGAGGGGACTTATAACTGTGCTAGAAAGATGACGGTTTTTTGAAACCTTGAATAAATATTCTAAATAGGTTGATTTAAGCCTACAGATAGATACTGAAACTCAAAGTTCAAAATATCGAAGTCTAGAATTTTATGTAATTTAGAAGTGAATTCAAGCCGAATATGCTGCTTACTGTATTTTTAATAAAAAAAGTATACTCCTATAAAAAAATAATTATCTATAAGTATATTATTCAAAAGTAGGTACGTCCGTTCGTCTAAAATATATTTACGACGTACGTTATTGATATCCCGTAACTTATTGTACGTCCACTATATCCATTTTTGTATATAATGTGGCGTCTTATTTGCTTCCGACATCCGTATATTGGATTGTCAATTTATTAAATTATTTTGGTCTATATTAGCCAGTGTTATGTTAAAAAAAACATAATACAATTGCACTTATACATATATAATACAACATGTACAATGTACTACTCCTAATTACCTATTAAACCCACATTGTGTCTGGTGTCTGGTGACTTAAGTAACTTAGTCTTTCAACTGCGTTGACTCTAACCGTCATACTCCATTGACTGCGGAGCTGTTTAATAAAATTAACGGCGCATTGGGCGCAATCCGTTTAAACGCAAATTTCTTGAATTTGGTATATCATATACAATTATATATATACATTTCTGAATTCTCTATGAAATTTCCTATAAAAGAGTATATAAATTTAATAAAGTCCTAAAGTAATTAGTGTAAGTAAATACTGAGTAAAGTCAAAATTGTCATATTTCTCGATGAAACAAAGTTTTTTAATAGTTCAATTTTGTTTAATTTTAAACTTAAATCTATTGTTTACAATATTTTGTGTGCAAAATCATAGGCTACAATACAATTTTTCATCATAAAACGCATTAATAATAAGCTTACAAGAACCCACAACCAACTTACACCGATTTAGAATGTAGTTCGGACCAGAGCGGCATGCGTTAGTCAATAAAAATAGTATTTTTTTATTTCTTTAAAAATATATACTTAAATTCATGAAGAAGCATGTGGTTTTTTTTCCAGGACTAGTTGAAACTCTCTTTTTCCTTACATGATTCAGTCATCTTTAAATAGATCTTGCTAAGTTTTACAAATCTCACAAAGTATTTCATAAGTACTCTTAATTTACTGTGTAAGTAATCAAAATTTTAGCCGTAAATGCCATATTTTTAAAAAATTTATTACTTTACATATTTGAACAAACAATTTTCAACAGCGCTTGTAGAGAAATAAAGGTTCATTCATTCCCTTAAAAGCCATAAAACCATTAAAGGTGCCGATGTACAGTCTAAAATAACGGTTTTTGTAAACAATACTCGACCATAATAGTGTCGAGTGACAAAGCCGTTCAAAGGCGGCGCAAGGTGCGCGGCGGTTATTTTACATTTCCAATTACCAAAATAATCAACATATTTCCTTCAACACAAATAATATCTACGAAATAATAAAATTTAAAATAAAAATATCTCTTCCTGAAATAAAAAATATATTATGGATATATATTTTAAAGAACCCACTTCTTAAGCTCCAAAAATATGCCACAATTAAAGTCCGATTTTTTTCCTAGTTCATTAAAACATTTTTTATACGTGGTAGAGCCATGCTGCAGTTATATTAGTAGTATAGTTGCAGCACGAATACTTCGGCTCGACCGGGGAAGGACCACGCTCTCACAGAATACCAGCGTGAAATATTAGCTTAATGCTGGCTCCGTGTTTCGTTCGTAATTTCACAGTACGCTCGCAAACCGGGTGCATCCCCGCTGGCATCAATGAAATTGTTAATTGCAATTTTAAGTGCTGATCTACCACGTGCTGAGCGGTGAAAGAAAACATCGTGAGGAAGTCGGACTGTCTGAGAAATAAGAAAAAAATATTTCGAGGACATATTTTTTTCGCCATGAAGTTCGCCAACACGCATAGGGGTAGCTCAGCCGGCACTTCTTTGCCCTAAAACCCTCTCAGAAGTGAGGGAAGGCCCAGCTGTGGGACGTAAATAGGCTGTAACTTAACCAACTTAACTATTTCAACGATGATAGTCTGAAATAATTAGCTGAATAAATTATAGTTGAATAAATATATAACATGGCTCCTCATTTCTTTAAAAGGCTCCTGGTACTTTTGTTGGATTTACTGTATCTACAGTACTATTCATTTACGAATGGTACTGTTAGTATTTTTTTTATAGGATAGGGTTGCAAACGAGCACACAGTCCACCTGATGGTAAGTGGTTGCTGTGGCCCATAGACATCCACATCTATCCTCCATTACGAATCAAAATGCAGATGCGTTGTCACCCGTGAGGACTAAGATGGAATGCCTCGTTTTCAGTAAAAAGGGTCTCCGGTTCTCTACACTCACCATACGAAATACAGCAGCATTAAGCTACTATTTCACGCTGGTATTCTGTGAGAGCGTGGTCCTTCCCCGGTCGAGCCGACCCATTCGTGCTACAACTATACTTCTAAAGTAAAAAAAAAGTAGCAGCAATCTTGCTCTAGGTTGAAACATAACGCAACGTTACACGCTTTGCATTTTGATTTATGAATTTTGCAAAGTAAACACACATAAAATGTACACGTGCAAAAAACCGATATAAGGAATATGTGCCTGAGGTGAGGCGATTTGTGTCACATCCATCTGTCAAATGAAGCCAGTACCGATCTACCTAGGCAAAGTACAAAATGAATAATATTTCAGTTTACCTTTTAGGTATGTTGTACATTGCCTGGGTATATAATCTCGGTTTATACAGATTACCGATAGCATATTTATTTATTCTTTTGGCAACAAACTATATACCTAATCTAATAGATTATTTCAGATGCTACAACTCCAACTGAATCTCGAAAACAAAGGGATGCTTCTTATTACGTGAATCTAAGAAGAATGTCATTAGTAAGTAGCCTATTTTTATTTATGGTCATACGCTTTTCTAAAAGGTACATAAATATTATACTTACTGGCCCGTTGGACCAAGGGTAGTCTCTTACCTTCTGAGCCAGGGGTCGTGGGTTCGATCCCCGCCCAGGACAAACACTTAGTGATGAACATTGTGTTTGTTCTGTATCTGGGTGTAATATATTTATTATGTATTTATTTGTAATAGCTTCGTTGATTCTGATTTCCGTAACACAAGTGCTTAAGCTACTTAATGTTATAATGGTCTCCCTGCTACAAGGTGCATTCGGATAGTATAGAAAGCGTCCAAAAAAGAACCCTTAGAATACTTAGCTACAAATGTGGTCGCAGTCTTGTCGGTTATAGTGAGAGACTCGACAAATTTAAAATGACCTCTTTACTTATTCGCCGTAAGGAATATGACCTTATATATTTACATAAAATTCTCCACAATGAGATCGATTCCGGTTACCTCTTAAGTAAATTAAACTTAATTACAAAGCGCAATCCCCGAATTCCTAGCAAGACATTTTACCTGCAGACTTACAAGAATAATACTTCTTTTTTACAACCCGATAATAAGAATGTTGACTTTACAACGAGATATCCATGAAAGACTCCGGCTTGGATATTTTTGACCCAAGATCAAGGATATTCAAAAGAGCAGTAAAAAGGAGCTTAAAGTCATACACACTCCTTCACATATCACATAGATTTTAAATTTGTTGCTTATAAATTTTTTTTTGTGTTATGTAATAATGTACGGCATTAATATTGTTTATATTGTTAAGCGTAGATTTGATCTTCCCTGTAGTAAAATATGAAAATGATGTGTCAACATACTTAGAAAAACAATCTGGCACAAAACTGTTATATGTATATGTATAATTTTTAATGTATTTTGATTGTTATCTGCTTTGTTGTCCATATAATAAATAAATAAATAAATGGGAGGTTCGGGGAATAAATGAAGCGTATAATGGATCTTGAATGTAGATTTATTACTGTCGAATCTATCTTAGGCTATCGTGTATATACCTACATACACTACATTATCTCGGCATCAGATCGATGTGTGTGATGTCTCATTGTCTAATTCATTTTATTTTACAGAGATCCAGACGTAATCTCCCATCATACGCACCGCCAAATACTAGCATTGATGATTCATTTGATATAATTGATAATGAGAAACATAGGGATGAAACATATCTACCGTCTACGGACGACGATACTGCAAATAGTTCAAATTTAAATAACGACTTAACGGATACTCTGATGGATGATATAACGAATGATGCTGATGACTCGGATTTGAACTATAACGAAACATGCTTGCCAGACGCTCAAAGACCAATGACTGACATCGAGACACCGCGGAATACTTTGTTGTCAGATTCAGTTGCAACTTCTAGTCCTCCTCTGCTAGATGCTGACAGCAACGTTATTATCGAAGCGAACGCAAACATTCTGGCTGATAACAGTAATAATTCAGTTATCCAAAATTCTGATTATTTAAATTTGTTGGAACAACCTCAGAACCCAATGCATAGTGAAAGTGGTCAATCGTGTCTTACTATAACTAACCAGTCCTTATCAAACGTATTGGAACAATCTCCGTACCAAATGCATGTAACACTAAGTAATCCTAATGAATGTAATCTCACAAAAAATCACACAATAACAAGCCAATCATTATCACAAGACCATACCACTCAGATACAAGACTCAGTACCTACTACGTCAGGTGGCGCTTCCAATGATGGCATTCCTAATTTTGCTAATGACAATAGCTCTGAGTTTGACGACTCTGACAAAGATCCAACGTACATTTCTGCATTCGAGAAATCCTCCAGTATCACAAGTTACACTGAAGAAACGGAAGAAGTATTGAATAAGACACATCAAAATCAGCAATTGTGTCTTAGACGTCGTAGCTTAGAGGAACCCCAGGTGAGATCTTTTCTTTATTACTTAAATTCTGAAACCATGAAGCTGCAATAATCAACATTGTATGCTCATGAATATATTTATTTCACAATATGAACATAAATCAGGAATATGAAGCTTTAGTTTCGCTACGCGACAGAAATATTTCTTTTTTGTTTCACATCAAATCTTGAAGATAACTTTCTGATTTTTTTATTCAATTCAATTTTGAGGATTCTTAGGGAGATAACTATTTAATTTGTGACTAAAAAGGATGCCTCACCTTTAATTTTAGAATGCCTATCCCTCTAGACACTTATTGTAACAAAATACAATCACGAGAGCCTAAGTACTTCTTGAGACATTCCGGTAACGTCCTGAAATTAATGCACGTTACTGTACCGTATGTTATCGTGCGGCAAGAATTACAGAACATTACCAGATGTGAAAATGTTGATAATTCATAAAGCAAATTTATTCTGTAATTCATTGAAATGTTCTCTTTTAGGATTTGACAAGTTGCCAAAAGACGAAAGAGTTGAAAAGAACCAGAGCCAGGGATTATTGTTTTTTTTTTGTGAGGTCGATGTGCAAAATTTTGCGAGACATCTATTGCGGAATCATTGTACGGAACCCGAAGTACAAAATATTATCTCTCATCCTACGAAAAGTTGCGTACGCAAAAACCTAATAACCAACTTACGCAAAAGAGGAAACTATATTCGGAATGTTATAAAATGTGTTAAACCTATGAAAAAGAGTAATGTTTATCCACACATCGATTACTTACCATGTGAAAAATGTTTAGGCTTCTACTCTAGGAAACAATTGTGGAAACATAAGAAGACATGTCAACCGTTATCCGATACCGCCAACACTCAAGTTCAGTCTCAAAATTTTATGTTACGCAACCTAAATATTGACAAAAAACTTAAAGATGAGGTATTTCCAAAAATGAGACCTGACAAAATATCACTAGAAGCTAAAAAAGACACGTTAATCTGTGCGTTTGGAGCCCAATATTTAAGGATTCATCGAGCAAAACACTTCGTAAACGTTACATCGCGAAAAATGAGAGAATTGGTTAAATTGTTACTAGAATTGAAGACGCTGAAACCGTCACTTAAAAATTTGATGGATTGTTTGAAACCTCAAAACTATGATCTAATTGTTACTGCAACTAAAAAAGTATCAAGTTACAATTGTAAAACAGATCGCTATGGTGCTCCAACATATGCTGCATGAACATCAGCACTAGCCTAAAACAGTGTTGCAACATAGCCATAATGACTACATTAAAATCAGGCAGCAGTGTGGAAACTGCTGCAGTAGAGGCTGATCTAAAGACGCTAATTCATCTCATCAAGACTAATTGGAAGTTTGATGTTTCAAGCCAGGCCTGCAATGACTTAAACTTAAAAAAATGGAATAAAATTACAATTGTTCCTCTTGCGAAAGACTTAAAACTCCTTAAAAATTATCTTTGCGAAAAATATAAGTCTGCAGCATCTAAGTTAATAGAATCCGAAACTAGCAATATTGAAGCGTACAACACTCTAACAGAGACAGTTTACTGCCGCGTTCTTCTTCTCAACAGACGTCGGCCTGGTGAACTGCAACGTCTCCCACTCAGCATCTACCAAGAGAGCAGCAATGACAAAAGCGCATATGAGGAATTTGACCGAGCTATTTCAAGTGCGGGAAAAAGTGTTGGTAAATAGTTTTAAGCGTATTGTTATACGGGGTAAAAGAGGTCGAGGTGTGCCCGTTCTGTTGACTGACGAAGTCCAAAGTGACATCAATTTGCTTATCTCTGTGAGACGTAATTACATATGTGAGAAAAACGACTTTTTGTTTGCAAAACCCGGATCTGAAATTACATTATGTGGTTATAAGGTCTTGAAAAAGTATGCCACTGCAAGTGGAGCTCGAAATCCTGCAGCTATTACTACGACTAAGCTACGCAAACATTTGGCTACGTTGACTCAGATGTTTAACCTTAAAAAATCAGACATTGAACAACTAGCTAACTTTATGGGGCACACACAGGCTGTCCACAGACAAAACTATAGATTACCCGATGACGTGTATCAGACGGCCAAACTATCAAAACTACTGCTGCTCATGGAGTGGCAAAACAGACTCTTATAGAGGCAAATGTTTGGATGACATAAACTTAGATTTAGAACAAGATTTACTAGAAAACGCACAGGGCCATGATAATTACGACAGTGATGAATTAATAGATTACGATGCTGCATTACCAACTGAAAAATCAAAAGAAACGGAGTTCACAGACGATAACCCTGTCCTTACTCCGCAGTCAACTCTACTTAGCGATGCTACCAATGCTACACATATTAAAACAAAGAAAAAAACGAAACCTTGTTCCTTGGACCACAGAACAGAAAATTATAGTTAAAAAGTTTTTTTAGCAAACATATTAAAAATAAACAACCGCCAAAACTGAACTTCGTAGTCAACATACTGAAATTCTGCACAACAAAGACTGGTTAAAAATAAAAGTCTTCGTCCAAAATGCCTATACAAACAACAAATAGCCATATTCGGGAATTCTCCTACGAATTACTGTGGTATTTTTGTTTAGTTTCGTATTTTGTTTTTAAAACATTGCTGGTTGTCAAAATTCCATCTCGCTCTCCTAGTCCAACCTTATCGAATTTAATGATTGATTGGATCCATGAATAATAGACGTAAAAAAGAGGATTGTTATAAGTTTTACGTGAATGTTTGTCTGTGTGGCTGCCTGTCTGTGACACCGTAGCTCCTAAATTGAACTAAGGTGAACCGATTTGGGTGCGGTCTTAAGGTCATAAGCTTTTTTCATAGCTGATGAAGGGATCTCAGTAACTTATATTATCGGTTTACGTCATGCTGCACTATATTTTTACATTTTACATTTATGTACTGTACAGTACTAAACTGCCTATAAGAACTTTTGTTATGTCGTAAGCAACCCATAATTCTGTTTGAGTATAAATTACCTTCTGATTGAGTACAAAAAGATGGAGTTAATTGTAGATATTGACAGGTTTTTAAATAGAAGTTTGTTTTGTTATATTCTGACTAATAACCTAATATGGCCTTGGGAAGAAATTCATTTTAATAAAAGGTTTTACTGGATTAGTTGCCAAAGATTTGTTAATTCCTACAACAGACCGTGGCATAATTTTGCTGACATGAATAACTCCGAAAAATATAATTTATTTACTTGATCGTGTTGAGTTTTGGTGCTCTCACTGCGAGTTTACTGTTTATGATCACTATCTTAAGGATGAGTGCGACTATTGTACCTAATCTGTAAGAAATTACTATCTACTTAACTTGATTTTATTTTGTGAAAGGCTATTTTTGTTAAATTATGATATGTTTGGTTTTGCATTTAGTTGAAATACAATTATAATTTTTATTCATATTGGACGCTATATTACTAAAAAACATGCATATCGTGCTTTATTTGGCGTCCGTACTGTGACCTACGCACATTAAGAACTTTCCACGCTTGTTTGCTTGCATTTAAGTTTCCTTAGTTAAACTTGTTTAAGTTGATTAATGTATAGTTGAGTATTTACCCATATACGGCCGTAAGAATATCCTAAAATATTCTCACAAAGTTTTATTTGACATCCATTTCTTTGATATCTGATGTCCAATGTTGTTGATTATTGCGTTTTACTATTTATTTATGTTGATTACTTATTTATTTAGTGCTCAAGGTATATTTTGGTATTTTTTGTCGGTTTATACTGTACTCAGTGCTATTTTTACTTTCAAATTTCTTTACGTGTCCTTAGATTTAGCTACATATAATAATACGGACGTTCGAATATCCTAAAACATTCGTACAGAATGATATTTAACGTCCATACTTTTGAATTTTGTTATATTTTTTATATGTGGACGTCAGATTATCGGTAAAGTTTCATACCGCACGATATTTGACGTCCATATAACCATGAATATATTTATATTTTAATTCCTTGTATATAAAACACACTTTAATGACCATTGCTTTAATGACATTTTTCGCTATTGTTTTTATATTTCAGTGTAGGGATGCCATGCGGTGTAAAATAGTAACTTTTCTAGAACAGTTTTTTCACATTACACAATTCTAGAAATGATAAAACGCTTAGAACACCTTTCTTATTTCTTTTTTAATTAATGTTGCCGTTTGTAGCGGTTTTTGGGGCACTGTGTGCGTCAAAAGTTTTGCTCTAAATTACTACCTATGTTATTTCAAGTGCCAAATTGTGTTAATTATGTTCCTTATTATAAATCTTTATTCTAAGTATCTACTTCATTGAACAAATGTTTGAAAAGAAGATGCTTGTTCAATAAACGTTTTATTTGATCTCAATATTTGTTTCATTTTACATCAGTACGTATTTACAATTAAAGTAAATAATAATATATTCAATCTATAATTTATCACGGCTCGGCAATTTTTGATATTTTTTGTATTGACTCAACGAATAACTAGTTGGTAAATTAATCATGATACATAGTCTATTTTTTTTTTTTGCCGTAGATAAAAATTATATTTTCTCAATTTCACATTGCACATTCTGTACATTTATTTCATTATTTTGCACAATATACGAAACTTAAGTGACTAAAATTAAAGCTAATCTGAACCAGAATGATAAAAACTATATTATTCGTGCTAAACGAATCAAATATATTTTTAATTTGACGTAAAGATGATTCGACTCGACCGGGGAAGCACTACGTTCTCACAGAATGCCAGAGTAAAATCGCTGCTGTGTTTTGTATGGTGAGTGTAGAGAAATTCAAATTTAAATTCAAGTTCATTTATTCGTTGGCAATATATGGGTTACAATAGGTCTTAACAATTTAACAAAAATACTGCAATATTCTTCCTGCCGGTGTGAAAAAGTAATAATTAAATACAAAATATTTTTTATTTTATTATTAAAATGAAAATTTCTGATAATTATATTAACATAAAATAATCTTATTCTTATTACTAACATCATAATAATTCACATTATAATGTGTTAAGATTAAATTATATAGTCAATTAAAATTTTGCGGTTATATTCAATAAATTTTATAGTTCTACATTAAACAAAATATCACCTATAAATAAAATATTACAAAACAGAATAACTAATAAGAGTGGCAACGTCGCACTATACAAAGGAATTAGCGATAAGCAGGAGAATGAATTAAAAACTATGTATATTACGGGGATTCTGAATAATTGGTAATATGGAAGGGAGTCCCGATTGGTTTCCCTCTGTCTGGCAATATACGTATATTTGTATATTGACATATACTAAATATTCAAAAAAATGAGTTGAACACTATCTTTGAATTTGTTTAATGGACCAATATACGCTGTCATAGTTTTCAAAAATTGCCTACAAGTGGTGGACGCTATAATAATGCGAAATGAAAGGACGTAGAATCAATATCGTGATGTATATATATATATATATATATATATATATATATATATATATATATATATATATTTATGTGTATATATATATATATATATATAAATTACGTGTCACGTCGTCTGTCCGCGATGGACCCCTAAACTACTTAACCCAATTTAATCATGCACACCGTGTGCAATTTGGTCCAACTTGAGAGATAGGATAGTTTTTTGCCCATGCCCACCCACAATTTTTTGCGAATTAAAGGATTTTAATTGGACATGACAAAGGTTCGTCGAAAAGAGCAGAACAATGTCTGCCTGGCGAGCTAGTGTATATATATATATATATATATATATATATATATATATATATATATATATCACAAAAATTCACAAATAATTTTACGAGTGACGTTCGTTACTAGTGCAGTTATTTTACCAATAGCCTTGTAGTGAAGGACATCGCTCTCGCAAAATACCAAACGTGAAATAGTAGCATAATGTTGCGGTGTTTCGTATATAGTACTTAGATCTTAGGGGTGATAGAATTATTGTATTTAGTTGTTTATGAGACACAACCCTTTAGGTCAATAGTCAGGTAGAAGGGAGGGCAAATGAGCATGTGGCATACCTGATGGTAACTGTCAACCGCCACCCATAAACAACTACAACACACGGGGAATTGCAGGTTTTTTTTTTATATAACTAAGGCGCAAATGAGTACACAGTTCACCTGATGGTAAGTGGATTGGAACGATTTAATCCTTGATTGTAAATCAAAATGTAGATGCATTGTCTCACCTGAGAGTCTAAGAGAGAATGCCTCGTTCCCAGAAGAGAGTCTCCGGTTCTCTATATTCACCATATGAAACACAAAAGCATTAAGCTGCTATTTTACGCTGGTATTCCGTGAGAGAGTGTCGATGACCACAGCTGAGTCGACCAATTCATGCTACAACAATCATATTTCTAAAGCGTGGCTTTACATGTATCGTGCGCTTCCAGACTTTTGAAAAGTAGTAAACTCGTTTCTTAAAGGTTTCCTGCCTTTAATAAATTTGGAGGATGTTATGTTATTTCAAATTTAATTTTAAAGAACTTTAAGTAAAAAGGGTTTAAACGTAACATTACATGTATAGTTTGCTCTACCTTTATTGGTATTTGGTTTAAGAGTTACGACATTCACATAAAGTCTGCATAAATGAGATTAATTTTACTTTAGCGACATACGTGAAATACATAAAATGTGAACCCTCGTAAAACACTGAACGGCACTAAACCACAACACGACTGAGACCATTGTAACAGAATGTGTTCATAAAAACACAGATAATAAAAAAGCAAATAATGAAAGTACCTCGCGAGCAGGGTAAGAATAGTATTGAATTTTCTGGCAACCTCACTCTATAAACGTCAATTTTCATGTCAAAGTCATGAACATGCCGCCATTTTAAAATTTTTAAAAATTGAAATAAACACACATTTATTAAAATAACTGTAGATTTACTACAGTGTAATGCCGGCGTAAGAGAATCCACTACCACAGGTCATTCCGTAGGTTCGTAAGTGGCGACAGAAGGAAACGAAAAAAGTGCATGAGCAGCATCATATTATGGAAGCCATGAAATATAAATGGCTGTTTAATTATGTTTTGTTTAGTTATAATTAATTCATTACGGCAGAGGAATTCCAAAATTTTTGGTGTTTAAGCAGCCTTGTAAAAATATATTTTACTAAATACCGATACACTTTGACTCGATCCGGGCACGGCCGCTGTCGTGAGGCGGTCACTGTACCGTTTGTTTACAGCGGCTTGTAAAGAAATTGTGGCCGTGGAAGGAAAAGGGGAGATCTCTCGCCAGACAAGGTGTTCTGCCCGGGGAGCGGCCGACATTCCGTGTTGTTCGGAGATGTTCTATATATGCTGTTTGTGATTCGGAATGTTGATAGCGTGATTTAGGCTTCGGTGTATTTTCGCTTGTGGCGCGATG